AATTGAGTTAAATCATGTAACTCGAATGTTATGCCTCTAAGCAGCGCCCGTGACGTTTATTCAAGAAGAAAATCCAACAAAACAGTCAGAGCCCAAGAAGTACAAGGTATTGGGACGGATTCTAGGGTCTTCTTAGTCACATCGAGCTCTTCAAACTGATATACATCCGATTTAAAATAGCGCTTCACACTTGGAATATTTTCTCGTTAGTTACAGTTGTCAACTGCTCAATATCAAAATTTAAATACTTTATTGGATTGCTGTAGATATTCGTACTCGATGATTGGAAAAAAAGCATGCTTCTGTGAGGTGCAGGAATCATTGTAAACCTCTTCAGTTTGAATGTAAAAGGAGCGAAACTGTTTAGGATTGAAAAATATAGGAATAGTTCTGTGCACACTTGATAGTCTGAATCAAGAGTATTTATGAATCATGACGCACATCTACTTCCACCAAAATTATTTTATTTTCTGAAGAGCCTACTACAATAGCCTTTAGAGTCATGATTATTTTCGTCATAGAACAGTTGAACAAAGCTCCATGTCAAAATTTAATCTGGAACTGTATAACAGATAAACAATACGGCGCATTTTTCTAATATAGGTATTCGGAAGATGATGGAAATTATATTACAATCTAGAGACTAACAAGAAGGATTATTATCTCGTTTCTTTTCTTTTCTTTGTTTTGATATGATTCCGAACGATGTTGAAAATAATATTAGTCATAGTATTAGCAACATTTCTACTGCTTCACAGCCATCAACGACTGCAACATCATCAAGTCGTGGTAATACAAATTATTCATCAATCAATACATTAATTACAACTGATACTCGACGAAGTGTTCGTCTTTCAGCTAAATCTTCTAAAAGAATATCATCATTAAATCAATCAAGTATCCATCGAACAATATCGGGCGGTGTTGCTCTAACTCATTCACCAAAATTATATGTTCGTAAACGAACTTAAGGTAGTACTGACACTCAACGTACATCAACTAGTTCTATAAGTTATTCAACAATTACATCTACTGATAATGGTGGTATGCACGATAGCAACAATAAAAATAGCACATCTTATCGAGATCTTCTTCCATCTGGTCAATCTGATGATGATGAAATTTCAACAAACAACAGTGTAGTGATTAAACAAAAATCAACTGGACTATTAACTCTATCTGAAGTGTTATCATACTTTTTAGTCCAAGACAATAGTTATAAATGCAATTTATGTGACCAAGTAAGCCTTCTATTTTAAACTCCAATATGCATATATAAT